CTGAAAGGTCATCTGACTATTTTGGTCATTTGCAGGAGACATCTTGTCCTGTTTTTTTTTACATGTTTTGATGTAGTCTGCTGTCTCTGAGACATTAAGGTATTATTTTCTTTATTTATTGATTGTATGTTCATTTGTTTTGTCCTGCTTTTTTGTTTTGTTTTGCTATGTCAGAGCAGGCAGGCCAGGTGTTCTTTGCTGATTGCTCATCTGTGAGCATGATAGTTACCACCTTGTCTGGGTGGACAGGGCAGCAACAGGCAGAGTGAGCCTGCTTCACTGTACACTGGTGTAGAACATTGTCTTTGTAAACTGTGTTATGCCAGTTGAGCTAGATGTTCCCGGAGACCATGGTCCCCACAGCCCTTGGATGAACTCTTAATCACACAGTAATAGTTTTTTCACATTTCCAGGTTTCCTACGATTCCAGCACTCTGTATGCAAAAGCAAAAAAAAGGCAATTTTAATCTTTTAGGTTAGGCATCGTTAAACTGTTTCTGTGAGGGGTCAGATAGTAAATATCTCACAGGCTTACACTCAGGTGGTCTCCGTGGCAAGTACTCAACTCTGCATTGGAGTGAAAGCAGCCATACACAAAACGTAAACAAATGGGTGTGGCTATATTCAATAAAACTTTATATATAAACGCTGAAATTTACATTTAAGATATTTTTCTGCTGCCATGAAATATTCTTCTTTAAAAATGTTTTTTTCAAGCATCTGACAAATGTAGAAATCATTCTTAGCTCAGGACCGTTAGGAAAACAGGTGGCCAGCTGGATTTGGCCCATGGGCTGTAGTTTGTGGACCTCTGTTCTAGGTGCTCCTGCTCAGACCTCAGCAATCACAGACCCCATATGTTGTGTGCTCACAGTGTGTGTTGCAGTGGGAAGCAAAAGGAAGCAGCCACTCAGTTGGCTCAGGAAAGAAGAGATTCCACAGCAGAGGCAATATCTGAGCTGGCAGGAATTGTCCCTTGCAGGCTGAGAAGAGGAAGGGGAGCATTTTGTGCAGAGGAGGTGGGCTCTGCAAAGCCAGGTCACTGAGGAAACTCGTGCTGTACCTGGGACAGAGCAGTTCATGGCCCAGTGAGCAGGAGTGAGCCTGGACAGAAATGATTCAACAAGGAAAAGAGTTTGCTGAGGGCTCTGAGAACTTGTAGTCTAAAGTCAAACCACAAGGAAGTCAGTTATGCAAAATGATGTGCTAGCACCCCAAGTTATAAACTAATTAACTGTATGATAGTCACTATATGCTTTTGATTTGAGTCCAGCAGGGCAAGGTCAGGAGATGTGAATTGTTGTTGGTATTTTTTTCTTTTTTAGACTTTAGCATGTTGTTAGTATACTTCCATTATTTGATACTGCATTTTCCTTCTCATAAAATTCACTTTTTGCTTCAGTTTGCTCCCAGTAAAGAAGCTAGTTATGACACTGGTGTCTTAAAACAAGTATTTGGAATTGGAACTACTAGTGAGTGGAGCAGCCCAGGAGATAAATGCGACTGAAGATCAGCCTCCTTCAAACCTGAGGCTTGTATAACTTTCCATTCTTCAGTTCTCGACTGTGTATTTCCTGTGTTCTTTCATCACTCGAAGTTAGAGATGTTGGGGGTGATGGAGAGGGGGCAGTCAGTTTCGCATCCTTCCTGAAGCAGGTTGGGGAGTGTCTTAGGCTGGGTTCTCCAGAGAAGCAAAACCAGTGAAGTGTATAAATATATATATAGAAAGAGATTATGTCAAGGAAACAGCTCACACGATTGTGGAGGCTAAAACGTCCCAAGTCTGTGGACCAGGGTAGAGGCCTCTCCCAAGTCACACAGCTGCAGAAGCTGGCAAGCCCAAGATTGGAAGGTCGGAGAGCAGGGCTCCTACTCACAGGCTGTGCAAATCGACAAATCCCAGGTTCGGCAGATAAGCTGACAGCTCAAGTCCCAAGAACGGGAGATGAGACAACAGGAAACAGCCGCAGGATCCAGAGAGAGCAAAAAGCCAGAACGTCTGCTTATATACAGATGCAGGCCACACCCCCAAGGAGACTCCCTCTCATCTGGTTGGCTACTCACAGTATATTCAATCATGGGAGTAATTGCATTAAAACACGGAGAATCATGGTCCAGCCAAGTTGTCACACAATCTTAACCATCACAACTGGTTTGGTGAGGTGGCTGAGAGCAGACTGGTCAGGTGCTGTCTCCTGATGTTGGTCCAGTGGTGTGGGAGCTTTCCCAGCCCCTCACCAGATAGGCAGGGGTTTTGGATGGGGAGTGATGCACACTTGTTTCCGACCACTCAGCAGCTGGTCAAGCAGCAGGAGGCGGGCAGTGCGGGCCTGGTGTGGTTGCTGGCCTGAGCACCAGGGATGCTTTAGCTGTGGTATCACATAAGGGGCTGGTGGGAAGGGGCATTGGTGTATGGAGCTAGGTGGGGGGAGAAAGAAAAGAAAAGAGAAAGATTTTTTAAAAGTAGCCAGTGGATAGGGGCTGGGCAGAACTGGGGAAGGCAGGAAAGGGGGGTTAGTGACATATGAGGCTAGGTGGGAGGTAAAAAGAAAAGAAAGAAAATTTAGAAAGAAAATTTAAAAAGAAAAGAAAAAATAAAGTGAGTGGCAGCACGATGGGGGTGGGGTGGACCCGAGATAGCGGTCGACCAGTGGCTCTCTAGCCACAGCGGTGTGGCAGAGTTTGGGGGAGGGGAGGTGGCATACAGGGCTGGGTCCAAGGGAGAAGGAAAAGACAGAGAGAGGAAAGAAAAAAAAAAAAAAAACTGGCAGTGTGGTGGAGGCCAATGAGTAGGGGCAGGTTGGACTCGAGGGCCAGTTGGAAGGGACGGGATGTGATGTGCAGAGCTAGGTGGGAGAAAGAAAGGTGAGAGAAACAAAAGCAAAAAATGGTGACGCTGCGGGAGCTGGTGGGTAGGGGCAGGGAAGACCCAGGGCAGCCACGGGCTGGTGGCTCTCTAGCCGAGACAGCAAGGTATGGCCCAGTAGGACAAGGTAGAGGTGGCATAAGGGGCTAGGTGAGAGGAAGAAAGAAAGGGAAACAGAGAAAAGAAAAAAAAGGCAGCATGGCAGGAGCTGCAGATGGGGGTGGGGCAGACCTGAGGAGGTCATGTGCCGGTGGCTCTCTAGCTGAGCGCTGTGGCACAGCCCACCAAGAAGGGGCACAGGCAGTGCATGGGGTTAGGTGAGAGGGAGAAAGAAAAGGAAGAAAGAAAGAAAGAGAAAAGAAAAAAAATGGCACTGAGGGCACTGGCCAGTGGGGGTGGTGTGAACGGGGAGTGATGGTGAGCTGGTGTCTCTCTCACCAAGCAGCATGGCATGGCCCATCAGGAAGGGGCAGAGGCAGTGCATGGGGCCAGGTGGGAGGCAGAAAGAAAAAGATGAAAGGGAAAAGGGAAAAATTAAATAAATAAATGATAGGACACTGAGGGAGTTTGACCAGTGGGGGAGGGGCAGACAGTGGCAGCAAGCTGGTGCCTGCCCAGCTGAGTGGCATGGCGCTTCCCATTGGTAAGGGGTGGAGACAGCACAGGGGGCTAGGTGAGAGGGAGAAAGGAAAGGAATAAAGGGAAAGAGGAAAAAAATGGTGACATGACAAGAGCCAGCAGGTCGGGGTGGGAGAGACCCGGGGAGGCTATGTGCCAGTGGCTCTCTAGCCAAGTCATATGGCACAGCCTGTTGAGAAGGCGGAGAGGTAGCACAAGGGGCTAGGTGGGAAGGAGAAAGAAAAGGAAGGCCGGCAAAGAGAGATAAAAAATATGGCGCTGAGGGAGCTGGCCAGCAGGAGTAGGGCAGACCAGGCATGGTGGTGAGCCGGTGCCTCTCCAGCCAAGCGGCATGGCACAGCCTGTTGGTAAGGGATGGAGGTGGCACAGGGGGCTAGGTGGGAGGGAAAAAGAAAAAGAAGAAAGGGAAAGAGAAAGAAATGTCTCAGCAGGAGCCAGCTGGTGGGGGCAGGGTGGACCCAGGGCAGGCAGTGAACCAGTATTTCTCTGGCTGAGTGACCGTGGCCCATAGGAAAGTGGCAGAGGCAGCATACAATGCAGAAGGGTGACGGGAGGGAAAGCATGTTTCCCTGGTTACCAGGTGCTCTGTCTCCTGTTGAGAGCTCCGTGAAGTTGCCTTTCCATACTCCCTGTCCAGGATCATTGTTGGCTTTGTTCCAAGATGATGAAGCTGTGCCACATTAGCGGGCAGGTGACCTTCACTCCATAGCTTTCCTTGTTCTCTGTTCTGTCTGTTTTTAATTCCATTTGGTCCTTGATCTATTTCTTTATCCCTTCATTTGATGCTTAGGGTTCCAGGGTTGGCATTTGTATCTGCTTTACTTAGTTTTTTGGGTCTTTGCTGCAGAGGGTGTCTATATTCTGTCTATAGCACCATGTTGGCTCCGCTTCTTCATATGTGGTTCTTGATCAAACTTGGAGCAATGTCACGCAAGAGTCTGTTACTGGAGGAGGCCTCTTCAAGCAGCAGGAGTGGTGTAAGCCATGCTATAAGCCATCACCCTGAGAAAGCAGGCAGGTGTCTGTGCATCCTGTATGATTGCTTAGAACCTACTCAGCCCTTACCCCTGCTTAGGGAACCTGGACCGTCCCAAGGGCAGCAGCGGGCACACCCACGTCACTGAGCATATTCCCTCTGGTTTCTATGGCACCTTTCCTTCAAAGACCTAAGGCGTCTGTTCCCTTCCCCAGCCCCAAAGAGCAGGGGTGCCTTAAAGTGAAAGGCAAAGCCTGGACTTCCTTACAGAGCCTCCCATCACGCATATGGCTCATCTTCTCTGCCCACCTCTAGGGCAGGAGAAGCTCAGGGCTGATGGACCAGACCTTTTGGGTGGGTGACTCTAGTTTGGTCAGGATAAGTGCTTTCTGCCATGCTGAGTTGAGGAAGGAGAGTCTCTCTAGGCAAGCTCAGCTACTCAGTCCCAGTCCTAGGTGGGAAGATAACTTCCCTCCAGAACCTCTGGTGATGTCCTGGCCCTCTGCCTTCTCTCTCCAGGCGTGGCGTGTTGCACCTCCACCAGAGCCGCGGCATCGGCGACCTGGGCGCTCCCCGGTGGCAGCTCACGTTCTGCCTGGTGCTGGTCATTGTGCTGCTCTACTTCAGCTTGTGGAAGGGAGTGAAGACTTCCGGGAAGGTGAGACAACTAGGCCTCTGCTTTTGGGGAATGGACATATGGGCCGTGGTTAGGTTGGGCAGTAGAAACAGGCTATGATTGGGTTGGGGAGTGGCCATGTGGGCTGTGTTTGGGTTGAGGAGTAGACACATGGGCCATGGTTGGGTCAGGGAGTGGAAACATAGGCTATGATTGGGTTGGGGAGTGGACATGTGGGACATAGTTGGGTTGGGGAGTGGATTCATGGGCTGTGTTTGGGTTGAGGAGTGGACATGAGGGCCGTGGTTGGGTTGGGGAATGGACATATGGGTCATGGTTAGGTTGAGGAGTGAACACGTGGGCTCTGATTGGGTTAGCAAGTGAACACATGGACAATGGTTGGGTTAGGCAGTGGACATATGGGCCATGGTTCATTTGGGGAGTGGACATGTGGTGCTTGATTGGGGTGGGGAGTGCACTTGGACACCTGACCTTAGCTGGATTGGAAAGTGGACACATGGGTTGTGGTTGGGTTAGAAAATGGACTCATGGGCCATGGTTGAGTTGGGGGGTGGACATGCGGGTTGTGCTTAGGTCAGGGACTGAACAGAGGGTCCATAGTTTGGTTGGAAAGTAGACACATTGACCATGCTTGGGTTAGGGAGTGAACTTGGACACGTGGAACTTGGTTAGTTTGGGTAGTGGACACATGGGCCGTGGTTGGGAGAGGGCCTCGAAGGAGAAAGCACCCACAGCAGAGTGCTTTCAGCACTAAGACAAGCACAACATGACTTACTTCTCTCTGATAAAATTATATTTTTTATATCTGGGCACTGAAAACAATTTTGACCAAAATGTGTCCATCACTTGTGATAATAACCCGTAATGAAATGCCAACACATGGGAACTTTTCCATAATGATGGGTTTCTCCTCTCCTCTCCTCCCATTGCACCCCAGAATCCACCTTTTTATGCCCAATCAAGGTGCACAATCACACAATCAGTGCGACTTCACTCCTATATCACTGAGGAATTCAGCCACTGTCACCTACTGGGACAGACCAAATGCAGAAAAGCAATGTCCCTTTCTTACTGAATTGTTCTTCCCTTTGTTAATCTCTGGGAAAGGTGTTTGAGATAGAAGGCACCACAAGGAGCATTTGCTAAGCTGACGTCCTATGAAATGTTGTTTGGAGGTTGGGCTCTCTAATCAAAGGCCACCTCTCTTTTTAGTTACAAAGCATCCTGATGACCTTGTGCTCACTTCCTACCAGCACCCTCTCCAGCTGAGACTCCACCGCTTGTGGCTGGTACAGCCTGGTGACACAGTCCTCTCCCCCAGGTCGTGTGGATCACAGCCACCATGCCGTACGTGGTCCTCACCGCCCTGCTTCTGCGTGGGGTCACCCTTCCTGGAGCCATCGATGGCATCCGAGCGTACCTGAGTGTTGACTTCTACCGGCTTTGTGAAGCATCTGTGAGTGTGTTCTCTCACACCTGTGCAGCCCATGCAGCCCAGGCAAATGTGGTGTGATGGGGCGGGGCTCCTACATGCCAGGGGCGGGAGAGTCCCAAGGAAGCAGCTTTGCAGGAATTCCTCACTCGCCTATCAATTCAGCAAGTGCAGGTTGACCTGTGCAATGACCTGTGCAGGAGGGAACCTGCACACCTGACCCTGGTTAGGAAGTGGATGGGCGTGGTCAGCAGGAAGCCTGAATGAATGGAGAATAAAGAATCAAAGGAGCAGGGTCATCTACTCCCCATCTCCGGCAAGAGAAGGCTGCTGTCAATCAGAGCCATCTGAATTTTACCTTGACCTGCTTCCCCTTGATCCACCCAGCTTCCTTGAGGGATGCTCTTGGGTTCTCTCTGATCAGTACTGATGGAGCTGTCCAGCCTGTGCCGGAGAGCATTTGCTTCTCACGTGGATAGTACTTATGAGCTTCCGTTATCATGTCCATTATTGGAACAAGGCTAAAATGTATCAGAGTGGCATAAACCAGGGTCCCCTCCTCAGGAAACCTAAAACCTCATTGTGAAACACTCCTAATGCCCATGACACAGTAAGAGAGTGATTTCAATCAGATTATAACAAAAACTAAGTCTATAGTTGGACTGTAGATTTCTTTAGAAAATGTAGAAATAATTCTGGGTTAAAATATTTGGAACGACCTCATGGGGGAGAGGAGGCTTGGATGGCCTTGGGAGCTGGAGGGTGAATTCAGCAGAGTGCTCAGGGGACCTCTACAGAGCCAGAGCAGGGCAAGCCATGAAGCCAGCAGACCATCAGTGCTCTGGAGAGGCCAGAGAGGAGGCCAGGGGACGTGCTTGCAGGGGACGTGATTGTGGGTGCGTCACAGGCCCAGATGGGCCTTTTATAGAGATCAAAGAAGAAAAATCACATGAGGATAAGCAAGAAGCCAATGCTTCAGGCAGGAATAAGAACAGGCAGCTCTCAAGATGAGGCAATACAGACACCATCCATGTGAAAAGCTGTTCCCCTAAGAAGCCGAGAAGAGCAAATTACAACAAAGAGCCACCCTCACATCTGAGACTGGCAGAAAAATAGAAGAAAGGTTGCCAAAAATTAGATAGATGATGATGAAGATAGATAGGAAGAGAGGTAGGTAAGTTGGTAGGTCGGTGGGTTGGTGGGTCGGTGGGTGGGTGAATGAGTGGATAGATGGATAGGTAGGTAGGTAGACAGATTGATTGTTTGATGAGTATAGCTAGATGATTGTAGTAAGTAGGTAGGTAGATAAGGAGCCCTGGTGGCACAATGGTAAAGTGCTTGGCTGCTAACAAAAAGGTTGGTAGTTCAAACCTACCCAGTACCTCTATGGGAGAAAAGACTTAGTGATCTGCTGCTGTAAACATTACAGTCTAGAAAACCCTATGAGGCAGTTCTACTCTGTTATGAGTCGAAAATCAACTTGAAGGCCCCTAACAACAACACAGCAACAGGTAGGTAGGTAGGTAGATGATAGATAATTGATGGATGGATAGATGGATAGATAGATGGATTGCTGGGTAGATGGATGAGTGGGGAGGTGGGGGGTGAAGAGGATGGGG